AATTGAATTGAGCAACGAGGCTTATCACAGGAGAACCAAGACTCAGCAGTCCTCAAGAATCAGGGACACGTCTTTAAGAACAGCAGTGACCACTTTTTGGGCGGAGAACCAGATGATTAGAGGGAGGAGAGAAGGAAGACATGAAACTGAAACGACCACCTCTAGAGGGGGTTGTGATCTACAGCAACAGTCCTGACATCCCATCATTCACACTATGAGTCATGTGAGTCTGGAATGACAGGAAACCCCCCTACGAGTCTGGTAGAACTGAAGAAGCCTGCTGTATGACAGCTGAAACATCTTTAATATATGTTAATTTTAAAGCATTTTGGGAACATAAACAGGAGGCGGCCATTTTTGTTTGTTTTGTTTTTTTGTCACTGCACAAAAACTGAATGATGCATGAAAATCATTGATACTGATAATTATTGACATGCATTTAGTTGTCATGATGGTTTAAAAATTAATCAGGTAGAACGTATTATTTGGTTTAAAAAAAGTGATTTTATGTTTTTCCCCCTGACAGACATTTAAAGGGTTAAAGTTCTGAATTTAAATGAGATTTCTGGTTTTTATGGTCAGAACTGATGCAAATTTAAGAAACCAAGTTTACGAAAGTGGAAAAATCAGTGAATATATATGAATTTTAAAGCATTGTGGGAATGTAACCAGGAGGTGGCCTGAGTGGGAGTTTGATCCACTTTGCTCTCTGCTCATAAATAATAATGCATAATAATCAGCGTTAATCAGTTGCACATCTCAGACTGTTCTTTTAATGTAACAAGAAAAACCAGCGGCACAGGAAACATAGACAAACAACCGGGCATTTGAAGGGTTAACAAACTAAGAAGGAATGAATATGTTATATGAATGATAAGAACTGATGTTGGTTAAAAACTTTAAGCAGTAAAAGCATCAAAAAAACATTTTAAAAAAATCTACAAATGTGCAGACTTAGTGTAGAGCAAACTGAATGGATGTGAACCAAGCCAGATGTTCCTACTGAGGCACTCAGGATCACCACGACCTGAACGACTGAGGCTGGTCCAGCTCCAGGTTACATTCAGGAGAAAACCACCGCTCAGCGAACACCACCATCAAACTTCTGGATCATCGTTTGTGTCGCCTCTAATGAGTGTAATCAGGCCTAGCAACACGCTGCCTTTCAGGAGTGTTAGTTTGTTCTGATACAATCAAACCTGAGAGAAAAGAAAAACTCGCTGAAGCAAAAAGACAAATTATTTGCTGTTTTCTTTTTTGATAGCATCCTTTTGTTTTCAATTTCCTCTGCTTCTTCCTTCCTTACGCTGCCTTCACTTCTTATTCGTGCTGCTGGATCTTTTGTTTGCAGTTCTGATGCAAAACCTCGTGTGGGGACGACTGTCTCAGGGGTGTGTGCCCATCAACTAATGAGTTTAAAGCAGGGATCTCCAGCTCCGGTCCTCATGAGCTGCTGTCCTGCAGGTTTTAGATGTTTGCATCACACCTGACCTCACATTAAAGGATCTCCAGCAGCTTGTTGTCAAGTTCTACACAAGTCTGTCACCGATCCATTAATGTGAGTCAGGTGTGTTGCAGTAACGCCTAAAACCTGCAGGACAGTAGCTCACGAGGACTGGAGCTGGAGATCTCTGGTTTATAAGTTACAGTTCAGTATGTGCATTCAGCCAGTGTCGTCCCTTCACACTGGTACAGATCTCTCCTCCTCTCTGTGCTCACATATGCTGTATTTTAATACACATGAACTACCGATAAAGCTCCTCTTTCTGTTTCTGTTGTCTGAGATTGTTCCTGAAACGCAGAGCACACGTTTAAAACAGTGCTTATACTCTGAATTACTCTGAATTTGGCCTCTTTTATATGTAAAATAACCCCTGGTAGAGAATGTTAGAAGCATGTCTTCCTTATTTTTTCTCAAAACAACAAACAGCCTCCGTCCAGCACTAAAGAACATCCGGGAGACGAAGCTCTCACTCAAAGGTTCATAATAGAATAAGTCTAAAAGGCTTGTTGAGGATGATGGATGTGGATCGCCATCTGATACTGAAGAGGAGCAGCTCACTGGTCGTTTCTGTTTTTCTTTTTCTTGTGTTTTTTCTTCTGTTGTTTTACATTTCTATACCGGTGCAGCCATTAGATGCTCTTCTGCAATGCAAGACTGTAAAGGGCTGTGAACAGATGACTGAAGCAGAGCAAACTGGAAACAAAAGGACATCAAGACAAGTAAAAGGAGAAATAATTTGCTTGCAAGTTTAGAAGTTCTGACAACTTTTTCTGTGACTTTTTCTTTGATCATGGTGGCACAGATCTAATGTCATACTGGAGGCTGAACAGAGTGCACTGTGTTGTAAACCAGGAGGACTTCCGGACCTCGCCGTACCTCTTTAGTGAAGTATTTGGGCGTCCAGGGTTTGTTGTCGGCTGATCTCTTCCTCTCTTCTCCTCTCTGACACTCCTCCAGTCTGTGTTTGTGCTCCGTGGCCTCGTCGATGTTTCCCTCCTTCAGCGACCTGGTGACGTGCTGCCATAACCGCCTGCAAAACGCACAACCAAGTTAGAAAGCATTTCATGTGTCAACGCCGCCCGCTTTGTGTTTAATGACTTGCGTCTCACCTGGATTCCGTCCTGCCCTGCTTCTCCACGGGCCTCAGCTTCTTCCTGGTGACCGGCAGCTTGGCCGTGTCGATCACTTTGGTCTCGCCGCTGCTGTAGGTGAACTCCAGGGTGCCGTTCCACTCGCCCTGCGCTTTGCACACGATGGTGTTGGTCGGGTTGTGTTTGACCTCCGCCGTCACTCTGCATCGAGAAAACAAAACAAAAACACTCCATCTATGACGATATGCTTCTGCTTGTATTCTGAATGTTCACGTCACATTTCAGGAACTGGAAACAGACAGTTTGGCAGCAGTGACGGACTTGAAAGCTGCTTTTATTCTGTGTCACAACTCATTTATTGTGAAATCACTTACCCAACAGACTATAATTGGATTGACCAGCTATAACACAATAATCCAGCCAGCAGCTAATCGATACGTCTGGAGGTAATAATGTGATGGACTCAACCTGGAAGTGACACCTGGTGAGGTCTATGTATGAACCTTCAGTATTTCCTGATGAAGACATGATGTTAAAACGTTTTAGCTGAACTTAAATAAATTGTCTTTTTCAAAGCGTCTTCAAACAAGAAGACTGATGGAATATTGATGTTACTCAGTACATTTAGTATATGACAGTAAACTCAGATCTTTATTTAATTCTCTGGATTTAGATGGAGGTTGTCGAAAACATGTAAACTACTGACACTAAAATGGAAAATTAACCAACTAAGGAGTGTATTCATGCAGCCGACTCTGTTACAGCAGCAGCCTGGCATTTATATTAGAAGTCGAAGCCTGACAGTCTCACAGATGAATAAAATCTTTTGCTCCGTCTGTAAAGATAAGAACGGTTCTGTGAATCCTATTCTGAAAGCGAGATGGACGGTGGGCGGTCGAAGAGAAAGGAGGCGCTCACCTGTGCACCTTCCCTCCGTAGAAAGGCTTCGTGTGAAAGGTCACCGTGGCCGAGTAGCCGCTCTTGACACAGTTGATGGAGACTTTGCCCCCCAGCTCCACCCAGGGCACGGTGAGGATGGAGCGGGCGTAGGCACAGGGCAGCGTGAAGACGTACTCCTCATCGTGCTCCAGGAGACACAAGACTCCTGAGAGGAGAAGAGAGGAGAGTCAGCAAAGATGCACGTTACAAATCATCGTTTCTGTGCTTGATTAAGAGGAAACTAGCTCAGACTGGGGGCTGCAGGTGGCTTGGCAGTAGCAGTGACGTCAGTCCGACAGCAACGTGTGGACAGAAGTGAAGAAGTGTGGAAGCCTCCAGATGAGCAAGAAGAGGCAGAAATTCCAGCAAAAGCCAACCGATTACTAACAAGTGCTTTGGACCCACTGGGAACATGATGAAAGACCTAAAAGCTGAAATAAATAATTCTCCCAGCTATTATCCTGGCATTTCAATTTCTTACAATAAAGTCGGCCTTAGACATGAAATATTTATCAGCATTAAATATCGAGAAACGTGGAAAATGTATGTAAACGTCAGCTGCATGTGCTTTATTCCCATTATGTGAAGCAGCAAAGAGAGTTAAGCAATAGGTTTAAATGTAATGACTGGGCTGCATGTTTGATGGCGTTCTAACATCACAGCGTTAATAATAAATAGTTTTCCAGACCCTGAAGAGCCCATCAGAGCAGCAGCAGCAGCTTTCAGTCGTAATTAACGCTGCGACTAAACAAAATCAAGTGTGTACCGGGAATAAAAGTCACATGATTTGACCTCTCTATTCCATATAAACCTGCTGTGAAGAACGCTGGAGGAACCACATCTGGTGCAGGGATTCCCACAAGAAGCTTCGTGATCTGTATCATCTGATGGGTGGATTTATGTTGTGGTAAACAAAGCCTCTCTGGTTTCCCCTCATGTCCTTACACAGTTGTCAGTTCTTACATCATAAGCGCCGTCTTAGGAGGGACCACTTGTGAGGCGATGTTTCACAGCCAGAGTAAAGCCTGCGGGGGGGAAACACTGCATGTGGCTCCATTGTGAGCGTTTAATGACAGAGTGAGAGATAAACCTGTTCGCAGCCACAACAACGGCCTGCAGCTATTCGGTGTCACTTTGCTGAGGCAGTCTGAGGCTGAACTGTGTGATTACCAATTATTGCTCAGAGAGCTGCTGTGTGACGTATGGATGAGCCCGTAAAGCCCAAACACACGGAGCGGGAATTATTCAGAGCCTCAGGAAGTAAAAACCCCATGATGGGAAACGTCTCCAGTACAAATCCTGTATTCAGCATTCTGTCTGACAACAGTGTTATCAGAAATATGGATGAAAGCTTTTATTAGGCAGAATTAGCTCCTCAAGTCTTAAAAGATAGACGTCAGGAGCTTTGTGTTGAATACAGAACTTTACTGGATTAGTCTAATTATTAAAATGTGAGCAGCTGGTTGAGGTGGAGTTCATTCAAACCCAAAAACCAAAATTAAACCTGTTCCCTCAGTAAAGACTCTGTGGAGTTTGACTGTCGTCACTCTCAGCCTCCTGTTGGTTTTGTTTCTGGACGTGTTAGTTAGAAAGTTGTAGGGACGCACAGTGACATCAGCGCCACCATCTGGATCCACGGAGACTTTAAAATGAACATCAACAAACCGATAACGTCTGTCGAGTTTTGTGCAAAAATATTACCTATGATACAGTAAATATTAGGGATGCACGATATATCGGCGACCACATCAGTATCGGCCGATATCAGTGTTGTTTCCGATATATCGGTATCGGTCTGATGAACAAATTTAGCTGATGATTGTCTAACATCAGCGCCTTCGTCTCTGTTTGATATCGCTGCTATTTCACAGGTGTTTTTAGTTAAATGTTCCTTTAACGTTAAATATGTTTAAATATGTTTTACTTTTGTAATAAAGACTATGTGGTCTAATTGGTCTTCTTTTGAATAGTTTTCTCACAGTGCTGACTTAGACTCATTTTTCACTGTGAACAAAAATTGAATATCGACATCGGTGACATCGGTTTTCGGCGATATCAGTATCGGCCAGAAATTTTAATATCATGCATTCCTTCACCTCTGTCATTTTCATTTGATCCCAGGTTTGGTTTGAAGAGCCTCAGCTACTGAAAACACTGGACTGGGCAAAGTTTTTCTTTTGTACATATGCTTTTCTACTTTTATATAAAGCTAATGCTGCAGCTAGTACAAGGCTAACTTAGCTTAGCACACAGACTGGAGACTGGTAGGGCTGTAGCCTGCAGGTTCGTCAATATGCTTTCATCCAACCAAACTCTCACTGATCGATCGTTACATCAACAGACATCCAGGATTAATCCGTTGTTTTTGGGCGGCAGAAGGAACACGTTTTCAAATCTTTGATCTCAGCCACACTGATGCAGGCTGCTCGGTCGGTGTAGCACAGAAATGTGAATCAAGGTTCATTTAGCTCTTACATTGACTCTGAGAGAAGAAAATGAGCAAATTAGCATTTTATAGCTTGTTTGTTTAAATCAAACAAAGTGAAAAACTAAAAACTTGCTGTTTTACAGGAAGTTGTTTGCAGTATTGAACCATTTCTTGGCCTGAACCAGCTGTCAGCCAACCAGTGGAGACTCCATGAAGTTACTGTCAGTACAGGCCGTGCTGTATTTATAGAAATGCCCTTTTCCACCTCTGATTTGTCTCTTTGTCGCTGTGCAACTCGATTTTAAGGCAGAAAAGCAGATAAATGTCTGTACTGCTTAGAACTTTGCTGCCTTTGGGGTCAGAAGCAGCCCCGACTGCACGGCCTCGTGAGCGTCATGTGGTCGAAAATAATGGATTTATGTGAAAATATGTGTACAGAACTGAAAAGAGAAGAATAAAGAGTGTGTAAAAACTGAGAGAGCAGACGGCTAAATAACATCTAGACCTGAGCCCACTGGCGCTGGATGTAAACCTGTCAGCAGCTTCAGTTGGAAACAAAAATACATTTAATCGTTAATCATTTATCATGTAAATGTGATATGTGTCCAACAGGTTCGCATCTTAAAACATTAATTAAAGCCGTCCGTAGCGCTTCACAGTTCTGTGTTTAATTTGCACCATTAAAGGAAAACTGGGCTTGAATCTGTTGTTATCCTTTTCTCCCTGAATGCTCCATGAAGTGGATAATCATTTCTCAGTCTAATTTTTAATTGCTCACTTTTGGGTTTTTGCTTTGCAATTCAATTTTTGAGCAAAAACAAAAACTGATTCTAATTAGCTGGACCGCATGATTAGTGTCGTGTGTTATGTGATGAGAGTAACGAGTATGAGCTGACTGCTAGGTGTTCAAATAAAGGTAAAGTAAAATATTGCAAAAACATTATAGACCAGATACTGCAGCATCCTCTTAATGTCTGACATATTACAGACGATAAATTACTGTGAGGTCTAATGTGCCACAGTGCCAATAAAAAGTATTCAACCCCTGGAAGTTTTACCCTTTTATTCCTTTTTAACATTGAATCATGGTTATTATGAGTTGGCTGTTATGACAAGACTTGCTTCTTTTTTCCCCAAAAAAGACTCGTTCATGTCAAAGCGAAAACAGATTAAATAAAATAATATACAAAAAAAAGCATTCATCCCCTTAAAGTCCGAATTGATGCACTTTGGTAGCAGCTGAATGGGTCTCAATCAGCCCGGCACAACTGGACGCTACAATTTTATCCCATTCTTCTTTGCAAAGGTGCCAAAGCTCTGTCGGGTTGCACGGGGATCATGAGTGAACAGCCCTTTTCATGTCCAACAACAAAATTTCCACTGGATAGAGATCTGGACTCTGATTCAGCCATACAGGACATTCACTTTATCGTCTTTAAACCATTTCTGTAGAGCATCGGCGGAACGCTTCAGGTCATCGTCTCAGTTCTCTGTTCTCCTTCACGTTGCTGCGTTCATTTTACCGTCTACCTTTGACATTTCATGTTTGTAATTGAGCGACCCGTGTTCCCTTTGACATTAAAGAGTCTTTATTCATTAACTGACTATTTCATGTGTTGGGCTGAATCAATAAAAGCAGAAAACTTCCAAGGATCAGACGGATCTACAGTGAAGAACATTTGGTCAATTTGTTCGCTCACTTTTGCAGTTAAACACTTATAATCCCTTCCTTCAGTTTATTGATCCACATATGTGTTTGTCCTGCACATGACTCCTCCAGGCCTCTGTACGATGCCCTAAAGGTCGGATTAAAACCCAGCTGCTCATGTTGCTCTGCAGAAACCATCAGCTGCTGAACCTCTGCTCCCCTCTGCTGCTGACTCACTGCCACTCTGAGCCTTTCATACGATCAGGAAAGCAGCCGGAGCAATAAAAAAAAAATGTAATCCGGCAATCGATATCATCCCGGGGTGAAGGTCGGCGTGTTCTCTGACGGCAGCATCCGATGAACTGCTGCGTCACGACCTGCCAGCAGGTGGTCAGAGGTCCGCCTGCATCAGTTCATGCATCCAGAACCAGTCGATCGGGCTCAAGGACTTCCTCTATCCGGGCCCGGGGTGACTCATCCTGGACGGGCTGTACTGTTCACGGTGCAGAGTGCTGACACAGAGGTCGGGCTGGTGCGAGGGTTTCTATACTGACAGCGAACTGAAGGCAAACTGGGACATGAGCCAGAGGAGCTGAATGTTGTTTAATACAGCGTGTGAGCTACGCTTCAAAAATATAAGATTCTGCATCAGTTATTTAAGAAAGTGAACTTTTTATATGTTTTACAAGTGAAATGTTTGAAGCAGGTTTTTTATTATGGCTCATAGCTCATGAAAATCAGGAATCCAGTATCCTGAAACACTGGTATGTTTCCTAAGATCAATAAAAAAACCAATACAGAAAAGTTTGTTCATTTACCGTAATGTCCGGACTATCAGTGCACCTGAATATAAGCCCCACCTGCAAACTTTAAAAAGAAAACCAGGTGTGTACATATACAGGCGGCACTTGTCTCTAAGCTGCAGGTGTCCACGTTGGAACATGAGATATTTACGCAGACAGATGCAGATTCGTAAAAATCCATAAATTAGCCGCATGGTTGTTTAAGCCGCGTGAAAAACGTAGCAGCTTATAGTCCAGACATTACGGTACTTGGTTGTGGATCCTTTATCGTAAATTACTGCATCAATGCAGCGTAGCGCTGAGACTTTACATGTAATCAATGTATAATATAATACATTTTCACTTTCTTAAATAACTCGTGAAAAAACATTAAACTCGTTTTAATCTTTTGGATGCACCGACATCTTACTTGATTACCTCAGAGCTCGATTTTAGTATTTCTAGCGAGTATCCCAGGAAGCATCTGAACGTCTTTCCTTCCATGTTTCATTCATCTCAGGCTGATCTCTAAGGTCAGAACCTTTCTTTCTTTTCAGATTTAGATTCACACATTCTTCCCCTCAGACATGATCGCTGTAACGCGTTTCACTCCAGCATCAACAACAGAAACGTTCACAGGCTTCAGTTGATGCTGATGCTCTGCTGTTAACTCGCTCCAACAGAGGAGACCACCATATCCCAGTTCTTACCGACCTGTGCTGGTTTTAAGAGGATTTAGAGCCTCTCACTGATGCGTGATCTCTGAACTCCTGATGAGGCTGACAGGAGCCTCCTGACTGTTTCTGAATCTTGTGACCAGACGTGATCTGAGCTTCGCTGTTTGTGCTCCTGAGTTTCCCTCCCTGAGGATCTCTTTCATCATCAGACCTTTTCCTAACTGGATTTAATGTGGATGTTTTGGTTTTTTTTCTTTGTTCTTTTACTGTGTGCTTGCATTGTGGTTGTTTTACTTCTTTTGTTTTTAAAAAATCAAATATATTTGGTGTTTTTTCTGCTTAGTTTTATCTCCTGTGTTTTAACATCTACCTTGTGTAACACTTTCAAACTTAAAGTTACTCTTCTTCTTGCTCTCGTTCTTCTTTCTATCATTATTATTATTAATTTTACTACTACTATTAATGGTAATTGTTATTTAACGTCTGTCACCACCTCCTGGCAGTGAGAGTAATTAAAACAAACACTCCTTTCTTGACAATATAACCGTAACAGTTAATTTATAATCCCACACTCTAGTTTTAACTGGGCGTTGCTACTGAAGAGCATGCACACAACTTATCCTGTATAGAGAAGGATTAAGAAGATATTTAGTAAAATGCAATAATGAATTTAGATAATTTCATTATTTTAAAAGAAAATGTTAATACTGAACAAATGATGTTTATCTGCATTTTTGATTTAATTTAATAGTAGAGGAGAATAAATGTAACAGTATATTTAGTGGAATATATAATGATGGATAATATGAACTCTAGCAACCTCAACATAATCAGCAACACAGACATACAAAAAAAAAACATTTACAAACTAATTTGAATTCACTGTAGGGGTGTTTGATTTGTCCACCTACTTAGAATTAATAATGCAGTTTGTTTAACACATGTTGGTGTCTGGTGAGCAAAAGAATGTTTAAATGCACTGAACACCTTCACTGAAAACTTGAACTTTGCTCCTTCAGGAAAAAGCTGCAGTTACTGGTAACTTTGTAAAAATAAATGATTTTAAATAAGATTAATGATCAACTTACATACAGCTTATTCGGTGGTATAGAAAGTGTTCGAAATTAGCTCCACCTCAGTCTGCTGCAGCAATGAAGCACACTTTAGGGAACTTAATCCATCAATGACAGTAATCCAGTCATGTGATACAGAATATAGTACATCGTGACTCGATAATCCGACACTAAATGTAAAACCTTCTTCTATGTCGGATAGCAAGGCTGTCGGATTGTCAAGACGGAGGTCCAGATACAAGGAGGGCTTGATGCTGGAAGGCTCATTAGTTGTTAA